GTTACCCATCCCTAATTGCCCTCAAGAGCAGTTAACAATCAATTAAATTGCATTGACCTGGGATCTAATGTAGACCAAACCAGGGTAAGGATAGCAGCTTTACTTCCCTAAAGTACATTAGTGGACCAGGTGAGATTTTACAATAATTGATTGAACTAAGGATCTCAAAAGGTTTGCGCTCCTTTCGGTGGCGGGGAGGGGGGAATAAATTCTGGATAGAGATAACAAGGTCAGTCTTAAAAAGAGAAGCAATTTATAGTTTTTTTTTCCTCTCTTTCTCACTGCTTTGTTACTTGAATACTGTGGCTTGACTTGTCTACGTAGTTAGAATAAGTTCTAGTCCAGTTAATTGGGACCCCAAGGTAACTGGTTAATCTTTGTACATCATTTTGAGATAATATTTTTGTAAGGGCAAATGTTCTATACCTGCTAGAGATGAATGAATAACCAAACTCCCCACTAACATCCCTGCAGACTGCCACCAATGTTGCCTCAAGGAGTGAAGTAAAAACACTACTCTTGAAGTCCCATTCTTTCAGTTATAAATGGAGTCACATGCCCATTAAGTATTTATAGAACCAATGAAGATTTGTATCTTTATAGCATCCTACCTGGTCAATTCAAACTCTGAGTATCTCACTCACATTTGATTACTTTTCAATAAATGGTGAATGGGCAAGTTCAGCAGTCACGTGCAGAGCATAACTCCAGATGAACAATGATGTTTTTTTTAATTCTGAATTTGATGTGGGCGTCACAAGGCCCATGCAACAACAATTTCTTACTTAGAAGACACTGAAATGGTGGCAAGTTTGGACACATTGTTTTTTTTGCCTCTCAGTACCTGTATTTGAACACCCATCATTTTGAGCCATGTAGGAATTACTAGATGAAAGAAGACCAATGGCCATCTTAGTTTACCTTTTATTATCATGCTCATCACATGATAACAGAGTTGTTGACTAATTGACTAGCCATCAATTTCAGCATTAGATTACAACAGACTGGCCAAGATGTGAGAACTCATTACTCCCCAAAAAAATGAAAGGTTCTAGAAAGCAGAAGCTGAAAATCACTTGTCCTTCCAAATATGTTGAATTTACCATTGGTCATTTCCCAAATTACTCAGATATATGATGCACTTGAACAGTCTTGATATAGTTTTTAGGGAATGTGAGCCCTTAATTTTCAATAGTTTCATTTAGAGAGCTAGTGAGACAACTAGATCCTGAAAAGTGCTGGTAATTGTGTCATTTGTAGTTGCATATTTTGAGGCAGCTAACAAAAAGACTTTTGTTTTTACTGCAGTGTCCTTGCACTTAAAGACTCTGTACCAAAAGGAATTGTTTAAATCATTCTGAAAGAATAACAGACAATTACCACAAATCATATTGCCTCATTTGTGCAACACAATCAAGACCTTTTAATTGAAAGTAATCAAAATACAAAGTCTGATCTGGGACACCATGATAACTTAAGTATTTCATTTCAGCACCATATTCTCCACTGTACATTATGCATAATTTCCATAATCAAATGCACACCATATTAAAATAACACAAATGGAATGGATATGAACACATTTATGCTTTAATTAATTCTATGGTTCATTTTACTCTTCCTCGTAACCATCAGGATCTTTATTTTCTGTTATCCACTTTTTTGATAACATTCCTATTCAAGTATATTGCCTGAAACCTTAAAAATTACTTAAGTAAAATTAGTTCTGCTATTCTTTAGCTACCAGTGCGTACTTCATTTTAATTGTTAGCAGCATAACATTTTACATTTCCAAAAGCCATATGTAAGTGATCATATGGACCAATAAAAATCCCAATAAGTACAAGAGAAGAAACAAAGAAAATGTAGGTGTTGTGTTACTTCCAATGCACGATTCTTCAGCTACAATCTATTTTGAAATACTGGCTGTGAATCTATTGAATTATGCAGGGAGGTACAGGTGAACAAAAACAAGGAGACTGAAACAGTGCAAATTGCACATAGCGATATATAAATTAAATTCTGAAAACTTCATTCTGTATTTGGAATAAAGAATATAATGTAGATTTTTTTCCTTCACTTAATTCACTTCTTGCCTTAAAAAGTCTGCTGAGGCTCATCTCAAATCCGCTCTCTTGATGTGTTGGTTTGCTGAAGCATATTGTTCCCTAGCGTGCTTTCAGTGACACCTAGAAAAGCAGTTTCATTCCATGTCAGTTGACATAATCCACTTTTCCAAATTATCAAACTGTTATAGTAGAATCTCCAAGTCAATATTCTTTCCCTTCGAAGACTGGAACAACCACATCATAACAGCATGTTCCCACTGACATTTTGTTCAGAAAAATCCATCACACAACCATGTTTAGTCTCCATAAATTCCATATGTAACAAGCTTGCTATACATTGTTAGAGATTCTATGTTTTGGACGCTATTATTTGAGGTACCTTAGGGATGCTTAATGGTTGAGCTGAGATTACATCTGAGAAAAGATTATTGGTCCCATTGTTGAGGTACACCTTTAAAGAATGCATTTAGTGTAATATTAATGTTACTGTAACTAAGGTACTGCACACTGGTGAATGAAAATTGATTGATAGGGTTGGTGGTTTAATTGGAGGAATTAATTCACAACTTTGCAAAATAAATTTCAGATCTTTTTACGTCAGTTTTAAAAAATATGCATATTAAAAAGCTGTGGATACAATTTAGGAAGAATTGTTGCAATGTGAAGGCTTTTTACATTGTTTACCATGGTAATCTTATATTACACTATTATCTGGCACAAACATCACAGAACACAACATATCACTAAAATTTAACATTAAGCTGAGCAGTACAGAAAAGCTAATTATTATTTCCTTTAAATAGAGAACACATCTCTGAGAACACACTCCTCTAAAAACAGCTTCATACACAATTTAATTCAAGCTGTACATTTTGTACAGAAGACAGCAGTACCATTGTGAGCCTAGGTACTGACTGTAATTTCAGCTTTACTGACACCTATATTTGTATTTTTTGTTTGGCAATCCACAGAAAATATACACACAAGAAATAAAAAACAATTTCAAGTTTTCTAGGTAAGTCGTCACAATTGCAACTAAAACAAAACGTCTTTACGGACATTTTTTTTATTCATTGACAGATGAGGGCTAGGCAGCATTTATTGCCCATCCCTAATTGCCCAGAGGGCAGTTATGAGTCAACCACATTGCTGTGGGTCTGGAGTCACATGTAGACCAGACCAGGTAAGGATGGCAGTTTCCTTCCCTAAAAGACCTTAGTGAACCAGATGGGTTTTTCCCAACAATCGACAATGGATTCATGGTCATCATTAGACTCTTAATTCCAGATATTTATTGAAATCAAATTCCACCATCTGCCTTGGTGGGATTCAAACCCCGGTCCCCAGGACATCATCTGGATCTCTGGATTAACAGTCCAGCCATAATACCACTAGGCCATTGCCTCCCCTTCGAGAAAGTTTATCATGTAGAATCACTGATCATCAAAGTCTGTACAGCTAAATTTAAGTTTTACTTCGTATACTTAAATACAGTTGCTTGAAGACTGTAAGAACAAAGTTGACGCACAGAGAATTGGCACATGACCAGCAATGGACAATTACAGGTGGGTACATGAGACTGAATTTTTAAAAAAACTTAAGCCTTTCACATCACTGTATTTATAGTGTCCTACTGCAGTGGAAACATTGTGATTAAATATTAACAAATAGAAATACTCATGCAGTGTTGTGTGTAATGAACCATGTGTTTTGACAGTCATCCCAAATGCTGAAGTGAAATTCATGCTCTTGATTTTACAATTTAGTGACATGCACATCACTTTCAACTTCACTTTCCTCGCTACAGTTTAATTTTCTTCAGGTGCTTGTATACCACCTCCCCATCCCTATTGTGGTAGTCATTGGGAGGAGGGAGGGAGTTTTGGGTATTACGGACGGAGGTAAGGGAAACAGACTGCTGCACAAACACCAAACAATCCATATTTGAAAAAGAACAGTGACGAGCAGATGAAATCCTAATGTGCCCACAGCCTCAGAAACCAAGGATCTTCTATGGCTTGTGTTTAAAATGTGCTTCCACTGGAAAATAAGACAAAATAAAGGATGTCATTTTTGTTGAAAATACATTTTTGACAACAAAGAAACTTAGTATTTCAAAAAAAAATATATATAGTACCCTATCCTAAAAGCAGAAAATTCTGATATCTATGGAGAGGGAATCAGCTGATGCTCCAGGTCCATAACTTTTGGTCAGAACTGAAAGATGTTAGATTGAACATGTTTTAAACAGGTGAAAAAAACAAGGAAATCAAGGGAGGGGAAACAGTGATGGAATGGAGGGTGGGTGATTAATTGACACAATAATGGAGGCACAATTAAGGTGTCATGGGTGACGTTTGCAACAGACTGATGAATTGGACTGTTCTCTTTGCCTCAGTCTGTCTGCTAAATCTATTAGCTCAGTAGAGCACGTCTACGCAGATTAATTAGTCAACAGTTGAGTTTCATTCCTTGCAAATTGAGGCATATTTGTTGTATGAAATCATATATATTAAAAACTTATTAAAGGGTAATTAGTGTTTTGATGAATGAGATTTCTTCCCCTACATATATCAGCTTGTTTAAACTTTGGAGAAAATATTTCAAACAAATGCAGGAAATGGGGAAAGGGGAAGGAGCTAACATATTCCACTGTGGGAGATCATGATCGCAGTCTCCAGCAGGTACTTATCAGATTTCGCTGACCTGTTGCTGGAGGACAAATGCATTAAAAGAGAAATCAAATTCCAAAACTGCAAAATGCTTCAGATGCTTAAAAAAAATGAAATAAAATAAACAGATTAATGGCTTCAAGACAGATGCAGTTGAAGTTTGCGTGGGTTTTAACCATTCTTCAAAGAAACAGATTTTGTGGCAAATTTTCATTTCAATGCATGAAGTATCTGTGCCAAAGTATGTGACATAGACTAATGCTCAAGTAATTGAATGAATTATTCCAAAGCAGATTGCCAGTAGTGTATACACAGAAATATGCATCACAGCTGATAATCAGCATTGTTTTATCATTAGTCTTTATTATGTCACTTTTTAAATGATATCCTGGTTCCAGAGCTATACAAAGGGAGAGAAGACACATTGAATTTAATTACACAAAATCATGTGCATTGAAAGATAGTGAGTCCTAGTTTTGGTACGAAGCCTTGACAGCATTCACAATTTTGAGTATATTTCAGCCTTCACCTTTGTGTTTGCTGAACTACATCAGCTCCTGGTCAGGCAATGCCTCCAATTTTGAAAATTCTTACCTTTGTTTTCAAATCTCTCCATGGATTTTCCTCTCTCTATCACTGTGACCATCTTCCATCCTACAACCATCTGAGATATCTGCAGTGTTCTAATTTTGGCCACATATGCAACCCCAAATTTAATTGCTTCATCCCTACTGATTGTATCTTTAGCTATCTGGAGCCTAGGCTCTGGAACTCATTCGGTAAACCTTGCCAACTCCCTCTTCCTTCTTTAAGAGTCTACTTAAAACCTACATCTTTGACCAGGTTTAGGTTCTCCTAATATCTCCTCACATAGCTCAATGCCAAACTTTATTTGGTAACACCTGTGAAGGTGCCTTGAGACTTTCTGCTATGGTAAACTTGCTATATAGGCACAGGTTGTTGTTGATTACTCCACAGACTCTCTGTCTACATGAGGAAGGAGACTTTACACAAAGACTTTTGTTCCTTACCTGCATACTCTTGGGGCAACATTGCCCGGTCAATAACCTTCTGAAAGGCTTCCATCCAAATGCGACGTTCACTCTCAGTCTCACATGCAAACAAGAACTTCCTGTCAGGGGTTACTATGGTAATTCCATATTGCCAATGATTCCCTTGGGTTGAGGGAGGAAGACCATCTAAAACACTATAGCTATTTTCCTTACTCCCGATGAACACTTCACCCCGAGCGAAGGCATCCTGCAATGAGAGAACGGGGATGTTTTATCTTCTCTCGTTAACGTTGTTCTGCTTCAGGGAGGGCTGTGAAAGTGATCTATTTTGAAAGATTGGACCATTCTTGCTGGGGTACAATCCCACAGTTGTACCCAAGCACTTGCTTTCAAGGTGCAATGGGTAGTGCACCAGCCTCAGAGTTAGCAGGCCTGAGTGCCTGGGTTCAAGTGCCTATCCAGGACTGTAAGCATAAAGATCTAAGTTGCCATGTGCAGGGAGATACTAAATGAATGCTATACTGTTGGAGGTGCTATCTATCAAATAAGACATTAAACTAAACCAATGAGTTATCCCCAGAGTTGTGACCTTATTTATCCTTCAAGAAACATCATTGGAAAAGATTATCTGGTCATTGTCATGGTTGTGGGATCCTTTTATGTATAAATTAGCCATTGCATTTCATCTGTGTCTTTGTGTCATTGGTTGTAATGTGCTTTGGGACATCCTAGGGTGCAAAAGCTGCACTATAAATACAAATCTTTCTTTCTCATCATTTGAACCTAAACAGTATGTGGCAGTGGGTATTTTATCTAGGGCTGTGTGGTGGGATATATTAACAATGTCGCTGACCCTAATCCTTTCCACAGCTGTTCCCAGAATCAGTGGGAATACTTCCTGGCTCTTCGTCCCTTTCCTCCTTTAAATTAGAGCCAGGCTATTCATCAGTGAAATCAGGGAGTTCTGTATCGCACAAAGTGCAACTCTCTTCCAGCAAAAAAGCTGTGGAAGCTGAAGTTCAAGAGAAATGTCAAAGCTGCAATTCAAGTGAAATGTCAAAGACCAATATTATTAGATTTTTATTTTGATAAGAACATGAAGGGATATGGATCATAAAATCTAATCATAGCTCATCTAATCCTCCACCTCCAGCCCTCTGCCTCTCTTTCACAATCCCACACCCTCTTCTCCATTGATAACTGTGTCTTCAGCCTCATGTTGTGTCGAGCTTCCCTCCCAGTTCTCATCCGTCCAAATACTACAACCACACCCCACCCACCCCACTATGTTTACACAAGTACCAAGAGATTCATGAACAGTTTCTTCCCCGCTGTTATCAGACTTCTGAATGGACCTCAAATTTTAAATTTAATGTTGATCTCACTCTTTGTGCACCTTTGCTGCAGCCGTAACACAATATTCTTAGCTCTATTACCCTAATGCACGTTTTATGGTATGATCTGCCTATACTGCAAAACAAAACTTTTACTGTATCTAGGTGCATGTGACAATAATAAATCAAATCAAAAATGTCCCCTAACCCTGAAACTTCTCTACTCCTTTGGCTTGATACCCTGATATTTTTGGTTATCATAAATGCCTTGGGATGTTGCTCTATGTTGAAGATGCTAAATAAGTGCCAGTTGTTATAGTTCTATGGAAAGAGACAGCAAAGGGAAAGAGGAATCCTTCACTATCACACATTGAAAAGAATTAATTGTTCACTGAATTTTTGAAGTAGATGATCACTTTTTTTTAACCATGATGGTACAATGCAACTATTTAACTATTTAATTATTAAAAAGGTTCCTTCAATGGCACTTGTTATCTTTAATGAACAGTTTCTACAGTTGAGCATTCAGAACATGGAAGCAATGTCATGCAATCAAATACCAGCTCAGATTCTGGCCAAGAGTTTTCCCAGCACACAGGTGATAAGACACAGTGCCAAATCATTTTGTTATCTGCAAGTGGCCGCAATCAAAATGCAACAACATCACATTTAAAGACAAACCTCTGTGTTTAATCTCATACTGGAAGAATATTCTGGGACCATTCTCCCTGATGCTGCCTTTTTGAGTTTAATTATAAAAATACACATTGCGACATCTATAAGTAGCAGTTTGGTCAATGAAATTCATTCAGCTGAATATGTTAGCAAGCTGGGTCGCAGTGAACAACAGGTGGGGCAGAAGCGGATCTCATAGTGTACTGGCAGCATATTGTACATTCTGTCCACTTTCTCGGACAGAAAAGAATGTTCAGTGCCAAGGATTCATTGCTGCTGGGGTAGACCAATGTCTTCCCATGGATTTCCCATTTTGTACTTGTTACTTAACAATCAACTGGAGGTTATTGGCCCTCAAAGACAAAGCAGGCTAGGTACTTGAGTACATACAGATTGCTTTGATTTTAGATGCAATTTAATTATACTTATCCTTCTTTACAGTCAGTTTGTACATGAAATGGATAAAATTATCACTTTTTTTACATGGTAGAAAATTCATATTTATTTCATAAATTAAAAAATGAATTTTGCTAGCAATGGAATTAGAGGAATCCAGTACCAGAGTTTGCCTGGAAGAGATTACACTCTGAATTTTAAAGAAAAAGAAACATGTCAATTTCCTGAAAGTAAGAAATGAATACATGTGTCCTGTGCCTACCAGTGGGTCTTTGAAATACATCAGCCTTCTGTCATCTAACGTGAACCATCGTTTCTTAAACCCTTCAGTTTGCTGATGAAACACAGAACAAGGTTAGAAGCATGGATGTAAAAGACAGGATGAAAGCTAGTTCTGTAAGATAAATATATAAAGTCATTTTTCAATCGCAACAAGTCATTTAACATTTAAGAGCACATCTGCACTTCCACAGGAAGTTTTGAAGCAGAAAAAGGAATGACTGAAAAGCTTTCAAGCAGAACAAATGGTCATGAAAAATAAACAGGACAATTTATTTTACAATTACACAAATTCAAACTGATCATTATCTGTGATCTTGCTTTTACAGATATGTCAAGTCTGCATATATTGTCTAATTGGATTTGTTTTCAAAATTCATTCTTGCGATGTGGTTTTTGCTGGAAAGGCCAGCATTTATTGCCCATCCCTAATTACTTTTGAGAAAGTGGTGGTAGTGATCCACTTTCTTGAATAGCTGCAGTCCATGTGGTGCATAGACACCATAGCACTGATAGAAAGGGAGTTCCAGTATATTGACCCAGCAGCAGTGAAAGAAGGAACAAGAGATATAAAATATATAACTTGGAGGGGAAAGAGACAGCTGCATGTGTTACCATGATCTTGTCCTTCTAGGTGGTTTTGGACATGCTGCTCAAGCGCCGCAAGCAATTTTCTGCAACACATCTTTAAGGAAATCTGCCATTCTTACCTGGCCTGGCCTACATGTGATTCCAGACCCACAGACTCGACGGGCTCTAGCAAATCACTCCATTAAAGGGCAATTTGGGATGGGTAACAAATTGCCAGTGATTGCCCACATCCCATGAAAGAATAAAGAAAAAAATAATCTGGGTAAACTCTACAGCCACTATGCACCGGTGGAGAGAATCCATAATCAGGGTGGTGGATAATGTGTGCATAGGTCCCCAGGGTAGAAACCTCCTGACCGCTCCATCCCAAAATGTGCAGACTCCTACTGTCCATATTTATTTTGTGGGCATTGTTGTCTCTCTATAAAATCACCTACCCTCCTCTCGGGGACAGGTACTAATTTGCCTCTCAGACAAGGAAAATGTGGTTCTAGGAAATTAGTAGAATTTCAGGTTAATGTTCAAAATTCTTAAATCATTAGATTCATCAGACAACCCAAACAATCTTATTAAAACCAATACACCTCGAATCAGATTGCTGAGCAAAAGAGACTGTTCACTAAAGTAATGCTGATAATATTGTGCTGTGTCTTTCAGCAGCCTGCTTTAAGATCTACTGCTGTCCATTGAACAATGGTGTTTTTTTTTTAAATCACTAAGCGAGGATTGTGTCTGGTTAAGAAAGTTTCGTGGAAGATTTTTCCCTGGTAAGGAGTGGATTACAGAAACTGGCCAGGAGTTAAGCCTGTTCTGGTTTCTCCTATTCTGCTTTTGCATGTGCTGTTTGGAAATGTTAGCAGCACAGAAGGGATTGGAGAATATTCACCGTTGGAAGGGTTAGCAAGAGAACAGTAAGATGCCGATGGTGAAGGAAGCAGACAATATTAATGAATGGTTTAACCACAATGCAGCAACGGTGCTGCTATGGTGGGAAGCTGTCTACAGCTATGCCACTCGACAAAGACTCTGGTTTAAGAACAGAAAAGCAAAAACAACCGGGACTTGCTGAATAGCAGTGGGTTCATTCAAAGTTGGAAGTCCAAAATTTTGGGATTGTACCACAGACTCGGAATTGGCTTTTAGAAACTGAGTTCAGATCTGACTGCAATTGTGAAACTGCTGGGGAATTTGGGTGCTTCAACCACATCTACCAGCAGGGGGAGACAGCAGACTGGAAGAGACATTAGTTGAGCTTGATGCCCACTGAATTAGTTGATTCATTTACAGAGGCTAAGAGTTTAACTTCCTCTTATCAAAACAACTGGTGGTTGTCTGAGAAGTCGCCATATCATGATGAGAAACCTCTTAAAGATACAGTTAGTGAAAACAGAAATGAGAAATTCTTTTGAAACAAAAAGACTGATTCTAGGCCCATGAAGAAATACATTCCTTTCTCACAAAATAATGACTTTGTCAAAGAATATCACGACTATGAGCCTCATACGTATACAATGGGTGGTGTAGTAATCATGGACCTAACATCTCCTTATGCAGCTCAGTATAAAGTTCAGTCTGATAATGGTCTCAGGAATCAGCTTCAGCCATTTCACTACATTTTAAAAAATAGAATCATGAGATACGGGCATCACTGGCTTATTGTCCGCTCCTAGTTGCCCTGGAGAAAGAGGTGGTGAGCTGCCTTCCTGCACTGCTGCAGTTCTTCAGGTGTAGGTAGGTCCACAATGCCCTTAGGGAGGGAGTTCTATGGTTTCAACCCAGTGATACTGAAGGAACAGCAATACATTTCCAAGCCAGGTAAGACTTGCAGGAGAACTCACTCCCACTGCATCTGCTGCCTTTGTCCTTCTGGGTGGTAGGGTTCACAGGTCTGGAAGGTGCTTTTGAAGGAAGCTTGGTGAGTTTTCACAGCACATCTTGCAGATGGTACACGCTATGTGTCAGTGGTAAAGGGAGTGAATGTTGAAGGTGGTGGATGTGATGCCAATCAAGCGGTTTGCTTTGTCCTGGGAATGGTGTCAAGCTTCTGGAGTGTTATCAGAGCTGCACCCATCCAGACAAGTGGGCAGTATTCCATCACATTCCTGATTTGCATGTTATAGATGGTGGACAGGCTTTGGGGAGTCAGGAAGTGAGTTACTTGCCACAGTATTCCTAGCTTCTGACCTGTTCTTGTAAGCACTATGTTTATGTGTCAAGTCCAGTTGAGTTTCTGGTCAATGGTGACCCCAAGAATGTTGATAGTGGGGGATTCAGCGAGATGCTAAATAAATGCAAATTGTTCTTGTGAAATAGAAAGGATTGTTGCCATGTTTTAATTGAGTTAGCATTTCACTAAAATCACTGAGACAACACCAACTTGAATTTATACAGAAACCGAAAGAACTGCGGATGCTGTAAATCAGGAACAGAAACAAAGTTGCTGAAAAAGCCCAGCAGGTCTGGCAGCATTTGTGAAGGAAAAAAACAGAGTTAACGTTTTGGATCCGGTGACCATGCCTCAGAACTGATGGTGGCTGGGAAAACATCAGTCCCAGCCTGATCATTAGCAACTCCTTTGACTGTCCAACTGTCTTTCTCTCTCTTTGGGCCTTATCCAATTGTTTACTCCCTACCCCACCCACCTCCCTATTTTCTGCATATAAACTGACGTTTTCCCAGCTACCATCAGTTCTGAGGAAGGGTCACCGGACCCAAAACGTTAACTCTGTTTTCTCCTTCACAGGTGCTGCCAGACCTGCTGAGCTTTTCCAACAACTTTGTTTTTGTTCTTGAATTTATATAGCGTCTTTAAAGGAAAATAGATTGCTTAACGGTACAGGGCCCTGGTCAGACTACACCCAGAAAACCATGCTCGCGATATAAAGACAGTGAACAGACATAAAATGAAGCTAATCTCAAGGTCAAAGGACTCAGTAAAAACTAAATGGAGTTTTTGTAGTAGGTAGGAAGGTAGCTGAGGGACAGTGTTTCCAATGAGAGCTGGGTGTGTTCATGGAGGTTTCATCATGTAACCCAACTCCTCTAACCACCTGTACCCCTAAATGCATTCCAGTTAAGTAAGACACTGCAAATCATCTTCAATTAAACCTGAAGACTCCAGGTGAGAGGATCAAGGCCAAGGACAGGGGGCACACTTCGTGCTAAACATCGGGGACCCTTCCTTTAGCCCCCATCTCTGGGGGTCCTCCAATCAAACGCCCCATCTCTGGTGCTTCTCCAATCAGAAGGACCCCGTCTCTGGTGTTCCTCCAATCACAAGCTGGTTCTCACTTGTATTTGCTGATACTGGGCTTGGTTCTAAGGAAGGGTCACTTGACCCGAAACGTTAACTCTGATTTATCTCCACAGATGCTACCGCACTTGCTGACCTTTTCCAGCAAATTCTACTTTTGTCTCTGGGCCCACTTGTAATTGGAGGAGCAGTTGGAAAGGTAAGTGGTTGCTTTGAGCAAGTTGCCATTAGTGGAGTCAGACCCTGAGGGCGTGGGTGTGCAACATTAGGCTTAGAAGCAGAAGAAGCAACAGGGTTCATGCTTTCTCTCCCTGGCCCACAAGAGGCGATCTTGTACAGATGACTGTACATCTTGTACACTTGACTGTGTCGCACTTGGAGCATTTTCTGTTCAAACTGAGGATTCAAACACCGAGTGGCCTGGGGGAGGTTAATCTTGAACAGAACTTCACATCTGTAAAGAGCCTGGAAGAAATGTATGAGTTTAAAACTGGTGAAAGGAATATTTGGAAAAGATGGAAGGGAGACATTCCTCATGTAAACAGCAGTTCACCCTCCGCACTGCCTTTCTAGGAAATCAATGGAGGAGAACCTTAGATGAGATCGGATGATGTGATATTCTGGATGGGTGAAGTTAGATTAACTGACTCGGGATCTACACAAGAGATCCTTATTTCACTTCACGCTGTGATGAAGGTTTATTCTATTTTGATATTAATTGGAAACTCGGTTCAAAACCATGTATTGCTCTAAGTTTGATTGGTATTTCTATATTATATGTATTAAGAAAGACAACTTCAGTTTTATTTTTGAGTTCCAAATGGCAAAGGGTTATATAGAAATGTGTTTACATGCGTTTAACTGAGACCCTCTAAACAGAAAACCTCAAGGTGAACAGTTCAGTAAAAGGGTAAAAGACAAATGAAAAATGTCGGGTTGTTGTAGAGACAGAAACTAATTTCCTTTTCTAAAGGGAGAACCATCCCAAAGGTCAGAGAGTATGCAGCTTTCTGGCAGAGAGAAGTCTGTGGCAGCAAAAGGTGCTGTTAGCTTAGCCACCTCCAAAGCAGTTTGGCAAAATCTTTAGCGGTTTAAAAGTCAGCAGGAGAAAAACTCAAGAAAGAGAAGGCTTTGGAAGAGTAGATTAATGAGTTCACCTTAAGAAATGTGAGCTGTGCTAGAATAAGGTGTAGAGCTGGATGAACACAGCAGGCCAAGCAGCATCAGAGGAGCAGGAAAACTGACGTTTCGGGCCTAGACCCTTCTTCAGAAATGGGGGAGAGGAAGCGGGTTCTGAAATAAATAGGGAGAGAGGGGCAGGCGGATAGAAGATGGATAGGTGGAGAGGAGACAGACCGGTCAAAGAGGTGGGGATGGAGCCAGTAAAGGTGAGTGTAGGTGGGGAGTTAGGGAGGAGATAGGTCAGTCCAGGGAGGACGGACAGGTCAAGGGGGCGGGATGAGGTTAGTAGGTAGGAGATGGGGGTGCGGCTTGAGGTGGGAGGAGGGGATAGGTGGGAGGAAGGACAGGTTAGGGAGGCGGGGACGAGCTGGGCTGGTTTTGGGATGCGGTCGGGGGAGGGGAGATTTTGAAGCTTGTGAAGTCCACATTGATACCATTGGGCTGCAGGGTTCCCAAGCGGAATATGAGTTGCTGTTCCTGCAGCCTTCGGGTAGCATCGTTGTGGCACTGCAGGAGGCCCAGGATGGACATGTCATCTGAGGAATGGGAGGGGGAGTTGAAATGGTTCGCGACTGGGAGGTGCAGTTGTTTAGTGCGAACCGAGCATAGGTGTTCTGCAAAGCGGTCCCCAAGCCTCCGCTTGGTTTCCCCGATGTAGAGGAGGCCACAACAGGAACAGCGGATGCAGTATACCACATTAGCAGATGTGCAGGTGAAAATCTGCTTGATGTGGAAAGTCTTCTTGGGGCCTGGGATGGGGGTGAGGGGGGAGGTGTGGGGGCAGGTATAGCACTTCCTGCGGTTGCAGGGAAAAGTGCCGGGTGAGGTGGGGCTGGAGGGGAGTGTGGAGCGGACAAGGGAGTCACGGATAGAGTGGTCCCTCTGGAAAGCAGATAAGGGTGGGGAGGGAAAAATGTCTTTGGTGGTGGGGTCGGATTGTAGATGGCGGAAGTGTCGGAGGATGATGCGTTGGATCTGGAGGTTGGTGGGTTGGTACGTGAGGACGAGGGGGATTCTGTTTTGGTTGTTATTGCGGGGAGGGGGTGTGAGGGATGAGTTGCGGGAAATGTGGGAGACACAGTCGAGGGCGTTCTCGACCACTGAGGGGGGGAAGTTGCGGTCCTTGAAAGACGAGGTCATCTGAGATGTACGGGAGTGGAATGCCTCATCCTGGGAGCAGATGCAGCGGAGGCGAAGGAATTGGGAATAGGGGATGGCATTTTTGCAGGAAGGTGGGTGGGAGGAGGTGTATTCTAGGTAGCTGTGGGAGTCGGTGGGCTTGAAATGGATATCGGTTTCTCGGTGGTTGCCAGAGATGGAGACAGAGAGGTCCAGGAAGGAGAGAGAGGTATCAGAGATGGTCCAGGTGACCTTAAGGTTGGGGTGGAAGGTGTTGGTGAAGTGCATCCCCGCCTCTTTGACTGGTCTGTCTCCTCTCCACCTACCTTCTCCTCTATCCATCTTCTATCTGCCTCCCCCTCTCTCCCTATTTATTTCAGAACCCCCTTCCCCTCCCCCATTTCTGAAGAAGGGTCTAGGCCCGAAACTTCAGCCTTCCTGCTCGGCCTGCTGTGTTCATCCAGCTCTACACCTTGTTATCTCAGATTCTCCAGCATCTGCAGTTCCTACTATCTCTGAGCTGTTCTAGAAGTCTGTTTAAGGATTTCAGGAAGTGGCACTAACTAAATAAATCGCAGCAAGTGAATTGCTACATTTCCTGAGAAGGAGTGGATTGTAGCTGTGCAAACTGAACAAGAAACTTTAAAGCAGAAATTAGGTGATCTTTCACTGAGGTTCAGGTTGTTGTAAAGTTATTATTGAGGGTGAAAGGGTTTAATCTTTATCTGGTATTTGACTAGAAATTGTAATACAGTTCTTTTTCTTCCCTTTTTTGTGTAATAAATGTTTACATTCTTGTGTTCAAAGTACATTGCCGGTCTATGTGAATCTGTTCAGTGACTGACCACCACAGTAACCAAACTGCAAAAATAAAACTTACAATCCACCAAGGCAGGTCTTAATCTGGGATCTGACTAGTCCAGTAATAGCATCAGCTGGGATTGTAACAGTGGAGAGCATTTGATATATAAATATTATCCAGCTTGTTTATATACAGTAAAGTTTTCTTAGGGTTGAAAGATACATAAATTATTGAAAAAATATTAAATGCAAAAGTCTTACTGACCTTTGGACCAGTCTTCTCCATGTACCCTTCTTTCCCGTAATTTCTCGTCAGTTTTGGTACCAGCTACAAAGGAAAAAAGTGTTGCTGTTAATATCTTCTCAGGACACTAGGCAGAATTACACCCACAGTTCAAACCAAGGGCTGGGTGACATAGCTAGATCCTGTAGGGGAGCTCTTGATCCCCATCTCATGATGTTACTCATTGGAGACGGTAATGGGGATTTCAGTGGATGGGACAGAAGAGGAAGAGCATTAATGTAAGATTTTGTGTTGTGAGGCAAAGAGGTTCCAACCAAACAACAAATCTGGGAATATTGATAATCTGCCTTCAGCAGAATATGTCAAGGCTGTCATTCTAGTCAACTCTGGGCAATATCCAGGCTATGGCTGAAAAATGGCAGTTAATATTAGTGCCAGGTAATAACAAGAGAGAAATCTAACCACCGTCCACTGACATTCAGTGGCATTAAAACACTGAATTGCACGTACTACCAACATCCTACGGTTACCATTGACCATATAAATGGTTACAAGAACAGGTAAGAGGCTAGGAATCCTGCAATTTGTAACTGACCTCCTGACTCTCCAAATCCTGTCAACCACCTTCAAGTCACAAGTCAGGAGTGTGATGGAATGCTCCCCATTTGCCTGATGGATGCAGCTCCAACAACACTCAAAAAGCTTGACACCATCCAGGACAAAGCAGCTTGTTTAATCGGCATCACATCAATAAACATTCACTCTGTCCATCACCGATGCTCAGTGTGTACTATCTAAAAGATGCACTGCAGAAATTCACCTAAGATCCTTCAACAGACTATTCTAAACCCATAACTATTCCATCGAGGACAAGGTCAAGGATGGCAGATACATGGGGACACCACCACATGTCAGTGCCCCTCCAAGCCACTCAACATCCTGACTTGGAAATATATTGCTATTTCTTCTGTGTCATTGGGTCAAAATACTTGGATACCCTCTCCAACAGCATTTTGAGTCTATCTATGGACTGTAGGATTCAAGAAGGCAGCTCAGTAACAGCTTTGCAAAAAGCAACTAGGGACAGGCAATAAATGTTGGCCCAGCCAGCATGCCCACATCCCATGAGTGAATAAGAGAAAACTGACCCCTGTACCATACTGTGAGGTTGGTGCCAGGAGACTATTTCCCCTGGCCGTAGAGTTTTGGATTAGTGATAGATATTTCAGCCTAAGGAGTCAGCCACTTAGGGCTAAGGTGAAGAGAAATGTCTTCACTCACAGATTTGTAAATCTTTAAAATTCTGTATTGGAGGGGACCATGGATACTCATTTGCTGGGTTCATTCAATACTGACATTGCTGTGAGATATAGCAGAAAGTGAAGCTGAGGTTGAAGATCTTACTGAATAGCAGCACACGGGCAAGAGGCTAGCTCCTATTACTCACATTCTTATTTGATTTATCATAAGGGTATTTACATGGGTCAAGTTGCCCCAGCTGCACAATACTTCCAACTGTCTCTATGTCTCCCTGTTCCTTGTCATCAATAAGCAGCAAGGAATTCAGCAACTTGTCGGATCCATGTAACTCTTCAGTGACGCGTCTCAGTCTTAACTGCCTAAACCTAACTAACTATATTAAATCTAAACCTAACTAACTCCCTCATCAGCCAAAACTCAGGCTAACTGTGGCCTGATTGAACAGCTAAATGGCTCAGAATATTGTGACCTCTATTACACCCAGCAATAACTTACAATACTGACAGACACCACTGCACTGAAGCCTTCGTATCGAAGCAGTGGAAAACCTATTTTTAGTTCATTCCAAGTTGTTGGTGTTTATTGTCCACCCCTACTTACCTTTGAAAAGGTGGTGGTGAGCTGCATCCTTGAACCCTGTGCTGTTGGTACTCCAATATTAATTGTTGGATAGAGCATTCCAGGACTTTGACCCAGTGGAAATGAAGGATTGGACGATATATTTTCGAAGTCAGGATGGTATGGGACTTAGAGGAGAGTTTGCAGGTTAAGATTAATTGATCTCTGTGATACCTGGGTCACCCTCGATTTTCGGTCAGTGCAGCATTAAATTGTACTCAAAGTTGCTGTTCTTTCTGGTATAGTGAGAACTCCTGGAGATTATGAGGTACATTCCTGGACAAAATCACTGCATTTGTGCTCTCAGTTTATTCCTTTTTAGACCCCCTAAGTAAATTGGTGAAGAAGAAATGGTTTTAACAGCAAACTGTAAAGAAGGAAAATAATCCAACTTTTGCAAACTAAATTAATTGAAAATGACATCAGATTTACAGCATAGAAATCGGCCATTCAGCCCAAGATGGTGCTTTTTGAAAAGGAAATCATTTTTGACAAATCCGTTAAAGTTGATTGTGGTTATAATAGCCGGTGTAGATAAAAAGGAACCAGTAGGTACACTGATTTAGATTTCTAAATACATTCAATAAGGGGCCTTGTTAAAGGTACAAGATAACAGCTCATGAAGTTGAAGGCAGCATTCCCTCTCATATTTTTGCGGCTATGCAGGCCTCGGAGGTCTGTGTGCAGCAGTGACTTTCAGAAGCGGATGTCAATGCTATGATCAGCTTGCCACTGCTAATCACCACACACAGAATCATGGAATGACTGTGCATGCACACAGCTTAAACAGAACTTTAGTTGGGGATGATACATTATCATGATCATGGATTGAAGACTGGATAGCTAACAGGAAATAGAGTTGCATTAACACATCGTCTTCGGGTAGCAGACTGTAACTAATGGAGAGCCACAGGAATCAGTACTGGGACCTCAACTATTTACCGTCTAAGTTATTGATGTGGCTGTAGGGACTGAGTGTATTGTAGTCAAACTTATCGGCAATGTAAAAGATAGATGGAAAAACATGTAGCCAGGAAGACACAAAGTATATCAGTAGGTTTAAATGAGTGGGCAAAAATCTGGCAGATGGAGTACAATGTGGGGAAAACGAAAGGTTGTCCATTTGATAGGAAAAATAGAAAAGCGATATAGGATTTCAATAGAGGGACAGAGACTACAGAAGCCTCCTCTCACGCCATTTAATCAAACCCTGTCAACATATCTTTCAACTTCATTCTCTTTCATGTGTTTATTTCACTTCCCCTGAAAGGCAGCTAAGCTATTCATCTCAATCTCTGGCAGCAATTTTCACGTTCTAACCATTCCCCAGGTAAAGAAGTTAAATATATAACAGGACTCACATCAGCATCACTAGCTCCAGGGAATGCCACTTGTAAGTAATGGAAACGTGCTGCTCGGATTGCATTGAACCAGTCAACTATTTCCTGTTTATAAAGGAAAAAGAATTAGTAAACATCTTTTAAAAATAACCACTGATGGTCAGGCAAGTGACTGACACTGTAAATTTGGTCAAGAAAATAACCAACTCCATATATCTGCTGGCCAAGAAACTGACTGATGCTGTATGTCCATTAGCCTATGTTTAAACTATTACTGTAGCCTTAAATAAATACAGGCATTGTGTTTTGAATTTGATGCACTTTGCATTTGTTGCCGATTTAAATGTGGGTTAACTTGTTGAAGGTGCTGGGTGCATCGTCATTTTATCAGGTGCATGTACAAGAAAGACACTGGACAAAGAGTTCTGAACATATAGACCATAACAAAATTTTATGTGGACTTTAAATTGTGTAAAACTTACACGGTTCAGCAATTTGTAGCTCATTATGTGTGAGCCATGGCTCAGTAACTCACAACCGAGGTCACTTTCAAAAAGTCCCATGCCAGCACTTGAGAACAAAATTTAGGCTGACACTGCAAGTGCAGGACTGAGAGAGTGTGGCACTGCTGGAGATGTCTTTCTGTGTAGTGGGATATTAAACCTCTGTGGATGTGAAAGATTCCATGGTGCTATTTTAAAGAGGAGCATGGGTGTTCAGATCCCACTTAGCACAGATCCCAGACTGGTACTTAAGTGGAGTACAGAGGCAGTACTGCATATTTAAAACGACACCACCAGTATTAACAACTTGGTGACGTGATCAACCCCATTTTCAGAATAGCTATGACTTCATCAATACTAGTCCATTAAAAACCAGCCTGTTTTAAATGTCCTGGCTGCCAACTATGGTAAATCACACATGTCTTCTTTGCCACGTCTTGAGACCAGTAATTGAAACAGCAGCAACTCCACGAAAAAAATAGCAGTTCAAGAGAAACCAGCTCATGCGTCACTGAACTGAGACCCAAAACATAATTAAAGAAGACCACAGACCACCAACAGCCAGTCTACTGTGATCAGCCAGACAGAGCGCACTCTACACCTATTTGTTTATAAAAAGCAGGACCACAGTTTAAATAAAATGCACACAACCTTGTTTCCCGAACTGCTTTGTTAATGCATTAACACTCCACATCCATTTTAAAATTGTCACTTTAGTTTGCATAGTCTCACCTTTCCATCTTCGTGATAAACAAATATATTCCTTGTACTGTTGTCTTTTAAGTATGTAATTTGCAATCCATTAGGATTCCCGATTTTCGTTGGTTGAAAAGTGGCGTTGATTTGTTCGAGCCTCAGGACAGCTTTTGGATCTTTAGCCTGGGAAATGGAGGAAGCAAAAGGTGAACCAAACTGAAGGGTGGAGAGTTGCCAACTCCTGGCTGCAATTACGCCTGGCAGTATTAGCAAAATGTCCTCCTTCCACTTCAGCACAGTCAAACAGCTCTCATCCTCAGATCACCAATATCGTTATTACTAATAAACAAAT